TTTTAAACATTTGTACCTTTTCTTTGTTATTTTCCTTTATTACCTTAATTCTTTTTTTTACTATTTTATCCTAAATATTTTCAAACAAAAAAAGTTATGATTTAAGATTATTTTTGGATAAATGTTACAAGCAACATATTTAATCTATATATTTATATTTTTTAAATTTGAGTAAAAAATTTTAAATTTTTCATAAAAGAAAATTGGGGGGAAAGAAGAAATAATAAAAAATTAAATAATGTATACAGTATGAAACCTTTTCACCATTATACTTTTACTCTTTCTTTTTTGTTTTATCTTTATTTATTCTTTTTTTATCAAATCTTTTCTTTTGAAAATTGATCATCTAAAATACTTTTGACAAAAATAATCCAACCATTAAAATTTCTCAATATATAATTTTTAAAATAACATAAAAGAATATAATTGTCCCAAGAAATAAATTACACTAGTAAACTTTTAAATCTATTCTTGAATTGTGTTTACAATCTTTAAAAGCAAGCTTTAATTTCCTTTTAGGTTTACGAACTTATCTTTTTCTATTGACAATGTTGAGCTTATGAATTTATTATAATTTGTGTTACGAGTTAATTTGCCAATACAACCCTGCAAATATATAGATGTATGCATATTTAATTTTTCAAAAGAGAAGTAGAGATGATGTGTCAGATTAAGTTTGTCATTGTGGAGTATGAAGTTCGTTAATTATTAAAAATTGTTAATGGATTAATATGAAAGAATTTATTCAAGATATATATATTTTATTTATAAAATATGTCTTTGATCACTCAATTTACATATAAAACTAAATATTTCTTTCGTCCTTCTTTTTGTTATTTTTTGGGATGTCTTAAAAAGAAATATTTTTCTTTTCATTTTTGAACATTTATTACTCTTACTTTTTTAATATTTCAAAGTTGGTTTCTATTTTTTATACTTTACTTTTTAACATTAAAAAGCATTGTACATCAATATTATTAAAAAAATTTGAATTTATAATATAAAATGTCCAAAAATAAAAAAAATTAATTTTAAATGAATGTTAATGAAAGACAAACAATTAAAGACAAAGAAAGTATAATATATTTTATTTAATTAGAAGTAAATAGTTATACCTAAGTTTCGAAAATAATTCATTCACGCGCAAATAATCACATCTTAACTTAAAATGAAAATTCATTTATCTGGCCTAACCAGTAACACTCCAAGTCCAAAGTAACCCAACCATGGAGGCTTGCAATACCCTCCAAATAACCATTTCATCCTATCAAACTCAAATTGTCCTCCCAAAGTACACTACTCCTGCCAAATGTTCAAACTTATGCATAAGGATGGCAATGGGTATCCTATTATAAGGTACCCATAAGTACTCGACCCGATTATATTGGACTAAGGTATCCTATAATTGAATTTGAGATAGATTTGGGTAGTAAAATCACAACCCGTATCGGGTTCGAGTACTACCTCTTGGATACTGGCTACTCGAATCCGATTATGCCAATATTTGAGTTATGCGGTACCTACCCCGAACCCGATCCTTATACCCATTTATAAATATTTTATTATTATTTAAATGACTAAATTAAAAATAATCAATATTAATATATTTATTAAAAGTTGACAAATATATTAAAA